GGATCTAACAGAACACTACAACATGACAACATCTCATATACCAGGATACAGATCTAACATATTACTACAACATAGCAACATACGGTAAACCAGGATATTAATCCAATAGACCGACCTTGGTGCCTTCAACCCGTAAGTACTGTAACACCCCAAAATTACCGGTTAAAAATTTCATTTTTAATTTAGGTGAAAACATAAAACATCATTACAAACATTCATGATAAAAATCCATGTCTGAAAAACCGGTGACATCATAATCCGAATTCAGAGTACATCCCAGAAAATCTACAATGCGGAAAACAAAAGGCGTATGTGTGATGTGCTGCTACCGCGCCGACTCCTTTCCCTTAGCTGAAGAGGTACCTGAAATCAAATTGCAAACCGTAAGCACAAAGCTTAGTGAGTTCCCCCATAATACCCCATACCATGCAAGCATATAACAACAACATTCAATTATGAGATACGGGCCCTTGCCCACACTCATGAAGATACGGGCCCTGCCCTCACTTCGCTTTCTGGGAGATACAGGCCATGCCCACACTCGTGAAGATACGGGCCTTGCCCACACTTCGCTATTTGGGAGATACAGGCCTAGCCCACACTCCACTCTCAGAGAGATACGGGCTTAGCCTACACTCAACCGCCAACTCGTATCATACAAGTATCACACAGACAACAAGTATAGACAGCTCTATTCTACTAGCATATATCGCAATCACTTAATTAAGAGATACGGGCTCGACCCACACTCTAATACTAACATCTCGTCTATACGGGCCGACCTTGGTGCCTTAGACCCGTTACTACTGAAAGGAAACTCACCTTGAAATAGCTGCTGGTGTGTGTGGGAACCGACTGTCTGCTCCTGTTTCTACTCCGGAAATCCTCCGGATGTAATTCCCACAACATACTTAACCAATCAATATTTACTGCCTTTTGGGTGAAATGACCCTTTTACCCCCGACCATGCCCTAAGTCAAAGTCAGAGTCAACTTCCAGTTGACCCGACTCGCCGAGTTGGCTATCCAACTGGTCGAGTCTATGTCCAAACGACTATCCAGGATTCTGTTTCTACTCGTCGAGTTAGGCGTTGACTCGACGAGTTCCCCATCCAAACTGATGTTCAAGTCCTTCATCCTACTCGCCGAGTTGTATGAACAACTCGGCGAGTTCATCTTCATCCGATGAACACTTATGCTGCGACTCGTCGAGTTGTATGAACAACTCACCGAGTTTGATCTTGATCTAAGGAGATTGCCTTGAACTCGCCGAGTCAGGGCATCGAATCGCCGAGTTCCATTATGGGTGAGTTTTGGCTTCCAACTCACCGAGTCCCTCCTGGACTCACCTCACGACTCGAAATAACAAAAAGGGGGCAAACCCGGAGACTCGCGACTGGACTCACCGAGTCAGATGAGCGACTCGCCGAGTCCGTTCCATGCAAGAGCTAAAAATGCGATTTTGCTCGAATCCAATCCATGTCATTTGTAGATCTAGGCTCCTAGAGCATGAATACCACGTAAAGTTTCCAACTTTACGTGTAAATATCCATCTATGGGGCTTTTAGGGTTTGAAATGCACCAAAAGAGTAGATCTAAGGTTTATGTGCAATATGGGCTCATAAAGGTAGTGGATCTGAGCTCCTGGAGCTCAACTATGCTTGGATCAAGAGACCAATCAGCTTATTTCGGAACATTATGCACATACAAGCTTGGGGAATGGCTCAAGAATGTCTTAAATGAAGCAATAAGCATGGAAACAAGGGAAAAACGAGATATACCTCAATGGAACTGCTGAGAGAACACAATGGTGCTTGGATGGCTTCCCCTTCTTCTGGATCTACTTCCCTTCTTCTTCAAAACCTTCAAAAACACCAATAATTGCTTCAACTCTTCAAAGAACAAGCTTAAACGAGGGTTAGGAGCTCTGGTGGGTGAATGGGGGCTGGCTTGGGGCGGATATGTTGCTTAAATAGGGTACAAACCCCTGAAACTTAGGGTTTCATCCAACAGCGGTGACTCGCCGAGTCGCCAACTTAAACGTGTCCCGTGTCTCGTCCCTACTCGGCGAGTCGGACCTATGACTCGCCGAGTCCAAGGCTTAAAAAGGAAAAATACTCAATGAAGATTTACATACCAGGAACTAGGCGCTACAAGTACAGTGAGGAAAAATCGCCTCACAGTTTGAATAACTCGTAGCTCCAACAACCGGCTCAACTCAAATCCTAAATGTCAAAACATTTCTCATTCTAAATTAATAACATTTTCCCAAAATACCCTTGGTCAAAACTGGTCAAAATCAACAAGTCAACCGAGTCAACCCAGCCGAGTAAACTCAGGGCTCGCACGCGGGGCGTACTCGGGCTTTGACCGCAGTCAGGAGCTTGACCTCGTACGCACGGCGTACGCTGAGATACACATGACGTACGCTCAAAACCCCCTTTTCTCAGTAAGAGCTTAATACATTAAGCTCTCACGTCCAACTTTCAGATCCAATGCCAAAATACCACCAAGAGTCATAAAATTTCCAACTTTATGACTTTGCATGTCCATCAAGTGCTTAATACCCAAAATCCCAACTCTAAATGCCTTAAGACCTTCTAGAGCATGCATGGAGAAAAACTAAGCATCAAGACCACATTTTTATGACTCAAGACCCCTCATAAGGTCTGAAAGGAAGACTTGTTTGGTTAAGAGCATGCCATGCTTAAGAATCATCATATTTGGGACCAAAAGTGCCCTAAATGGAGAAATGGATAGATCTACAAGATAGAGTGATCAAGTTATGAACTTTTTACCTCTTGGAGGTTGCTAGCAAGTGGAGAATCCCAGGTCTAAGTTACTTTCAAGCTTCAAGGTCCTTGCACTAACTTCTTCCTCTTCAAGAACAGCACTAAAGCACACAAATGAGCTCAAAATGCACTCTCTCACTTAGGGTTTGCTAAAGGGTCGTATCCTCAGTTGGAGGCTGATTAGGGTGAAGGTCTTGGGGCTCTAAAGTTGTTTAAATATGGTTCAAGCCCTAAAAATTAGGGTTTGCAACCCTTGCACGTATGCCCAACATACGAAGTCCCTCGCATGTACGCCATGCGTACGAAGAGTACGCCCATCGTACTATGTTCCAGCAATAAATTACCAAAATGCCACTTTTGGCCATTTTGCACTCTTTCTGAAACTCAAGGACTAAAATGTTATATTTATTTATACATAGGCCTAAAATGAAATTACCTCATCATCGGGATGTTACATTATATGTTTTATTTAAGCCTATTAATTGTACCTTTGTGCACCACGTATATAAAAATATAAAATTTATAATACTTATGGGACGAAAATGAGGGTGTAATTATTGTAACTTTATAACATTTTTTGCAACTGTTTAACCATGTTGACTCTTAAGTTATGTGCTCTAGAACAACTCAAACTTAATTGTCTCTTCTAAAAAAGTAGAATCGCATTCCATTTTTATTCTTTACACTTAAGTTACTTCTTTTTTACACCCAAAACTTAAATATTCACTAATAAATGTAGCATGTGGCCTAAAAACATGTTTCATACAACAATCAATAAAATCATGTTAAATTAAATATGATAACTACAATCATTAAGATATCATCTACAAGAGTTTTCTTTCTTAATTTAGTAGATATAAAAAGAATTTTTTTTCAAAAAAATCCTTAAAATTTAATCTATTAATGAAAAAGCCATAAATCTAATTTTTATTTTCAGAAAAATCCTTAAAATTTTTAGAAAAACTCTTAAAACCGGCACTAGCCGAATACAAAGGTTTTTTTTGCAAGTGTTTACCGGTTTTTAGGCAAAAAAAAAAGTCAGGAATGACTTATATTAATAGAACCAAACTTTAGGGACTTTAATTGTAGATTTCTCAAAGTAAAGGATCAAAGTGTGTTAGCTAAAATTAATAGGGGAGAAATTGTTGTATGGGTAAAATATTAGGAATTTCCTTAAGCTTTAATTTACTCCGAAGAATAGGCCGATAATTTAGCACTCCATATATTATAACCGCTTATGAATTTAATTTCAAGAATTTAGCAATTTCAATATGCAAGTGAGAATTTCAATTTCGAGATTCAAGATCTAAAATGATAAAAGTCAATGTAAGTCAATATGGAAAAACAAAAATTGAAGCACATGATTATAATAACTCATAGAACATTCACTTTTCACAAAAATAAATTTTAGATACGAAGCATCTTAAAATCTTAAAATAGTTTATTTTAATATCCAATATAAAATATAAGATTCGTAATACTTATATGCAAGTATGATACTTTTGTGGTTTTTTTAATGAAATTATATACATAATAATTTTATTGTATTTTATATATTTGATAAAAAAAGACTCAGCATATTTATATTTATTAAATATTTTATAACTATATTCACAATAATTTATCGTTTTTTATTCTTATAACTCGAACGTTCTTAAATGTTCGACAAAAAATGAAATATGCAATCTAGTTTCAGGCTTATTTTTAAATTTCCAGTATTAAAATATATTTAGTTAATTAAAAGTCATCGTCAAGTAACATTTTGAAAGAAAAAAAATACAAACATATGCTTAAAAATAATAAAGTTAGACGACTGACTTTATAAAATATGCTTAAAAATAGCAAAGTTAGATGAGTAACTTCCTAAAACATTTCACATAGATGATGATATAAACATAAAATAAAACTAGAAGAAAGCTAATCACTTTCATAGATGATGATATAAACATAAAATGAAACTAGAAGAAAGCTAATCACTGAAAGTTAAGGGTAAAATATTTTTATTAAGCATGTATAACAAAAAAAGGCTTTTCATAGATTTACCATCATGGAAACTCTAATATGGCAATGTATAGCGCCCATGTACAACATAAAGTTAATAGACTATAAACCCTTATTTATCATGGTGTGACATAAACACTAACTAGAGAGTATCAGTGTTTATGACCCTAAAACATAACTAAAACATACTATATGAAGTAACAATATATCATCTTCTAAGCTTGAATAACTTGAACCAACTCTCTGGATGTCTCCATCTCGATTGCAACTCTTCTGATTTTTTAATTTCTTCTAATATAACCACCACCTCTTCCATCTCCGGCCTCTTTGTGGGGTCTATGTCCCAACATTGTTCCATCAATTTAGCTAACGATCTTGGACAATGTCTTGGTATGCTTGGTCTCGTATACTGTAATCACACAACCCCTTATTAATTTCCATCAGAATTTGTTACCCAAATCAAAAATATAAAAAAGTATATATATGCACGTACCTTGTATATATCAGGTGTGAGAATCCCTAAATCATACGTATAAGCAGTATCACAACAGTATATCTCCCACAAGCATATCCCAAAGCTATAAACGTCGCATTTACGCCCGTGTGGATGTTTGCTTACCAACTCAGGAGCCATATAGCCGCGAGTCCCCCTTTCACCACATGTGATCAAAAGCTCTGGTGGTTCAATTTCTGATTCTCCGAAATCCGCAAGTTTGATTGTCTGTTTTTTGTCAATTAGCATGTTCCCCGGCTTCACATCACGATGAATTACTTTTTGAGAATGAAGGTAACTCAACCTGTACAAAAGATCATACATATATATATATATATATATATATATATATATATATATATATATATATATAAATAATATTTAGCGATTTGGATTTTGAAAATTTAAGTTAAAGATTAAGAATATTAATTAGTAATCATATATACGTACCCTTTAGCAATATCAATAGCAAATCGAATGACAGTTTTGTAAGGCAGCTTCTTGTCTTGGTGCTTGAGCTTCAATAGATAAGATCTGAGGGATCCTCCTTTTAAGTATTCGGAGACGACACAGAAGTTGTTTTCTGGTTTCGGGTTCTTGATCTTGTGCCGGCTACCTGACGTAATCATGGACATCGTTGCTCCGATCATCTGAAAATTTTATAGTTTATAAGAATAATTAGATGGTGATGATATTTGATTGCATGTAAGTAGGCCATGAATGCATGCATGTATATATCGTATTCTACTATATATATATATTATATATATATATATATATATATATATATATATATATATATATATATATATATATATATATATAGGTTCGGGTTCATTTGAGACCATTCTAATTTTGTGAGACCGTGAGACCAAATCTAAAAATAATTTTAAAATGCAAAATAAATGGAAAAATCCAAAAATTCTTTTTTTAAATATTATTTTCGGAACTTGAATTAACTAAAAAAAATAAAAAAATAAAAAAAATTCCGTGTTTTTTTTTTGAAAAATAAGTGAAATATTCTAAATAGAATATTACACTGATATATTCTAAAAAATAATTTTAAAATGCAAAATAAATGGAAAAATCTAAAAATTCTTTTTTTAAATATTATTTTTGGAACTTGAATTAACTAAAAAAAATAAAAATAAAATAAAAAAAATAAAAAAAATTCTATTTTTTTTAATAAATACGTGAAATATTCTAAATAGAATATTACACTGTACATATTCTAAAAATAATTTTAAAATGCAAAATAAATGAAAAAATCAAAAAATTCTTTTTTTAAATATTATTTTCGGAACATGAATTAACTAAAAAAAATAAAATAAAAAAAAAATAAAAAAAATGTGTCTCACGGTCTCACAAAATATAGGTGGTCTCAAATGAACCTAACCATATATATATATATATATATATATATATATATATATATATATATATATATATATATATATATATATATATATATATATATATATATATATATATATATATATATATATATATCCAAAAACAAAATTCCCTTAGTTACGTTTGGATGATCAAGATTTTTCCACACTTCAACTTCTTCCATTAAACCTAACTTAACGATCCCCATTGAATCTTCCGAAATCTTCTTTTTACCATTATCATCAAGAACTTTCACTGAATAACACAAATAAACAATTAATCAAAAATCTAAAATACCATCAAGAACTTTTTACCATTAACCACCACCACCACCATCACCATCACCATCACCATCACCATCATCATCATCACCACCATCATCACCATCACCACCGCCATCATCATCATCATCATCATCAACATCAACATCATCATCATCATCACCATCACCATTATCATCATTATCGTTATCATCATCACCACCACCACCACCATCACCACCACCATCACCATCACCATCACCACCATCATCATCATCACCACCATCATCACCATCACCATCATCACCACCATGATCACCATCATCATCATTATCACCATCACCATCACCATCATCGTCGAGTCCTCTTGTATCCTTAGAAGTCTTGATATGGACGTTAGGGTTTCTCACTACTCCAGCTCTTCTCACCACTCTAGCTCACTATGGACGTTAGTATGATTTTTAATTGTTTGTTTTCTAAATACGGAAAAATAAAACGATCCAAAAAAAAGTTTTAGGACTTGAATATTGAAAAAAATAATAATAATAATAATAATAATCGAAAAACAAAAGTGTATAAAACTAATAGGGGTCTAATAAATTAAGAATGTGGTATACCCAACCTAGTGGTAATTGTATTGGTTAGTTACCTCCGAGATTTGAGTTAGATTCCTACCCCAAACCTGTTATTCTTAATATTTTTGTATAGAAGATAAAGTTAATTGGAAACGGATGTGGCATACCCACCGTTTGGTAAGACTTTGGGTTACATACGTTCGAAACATGAGTTCAAATCCAGCCCCAAATAATGATAATAATAATAATAAAGGAAATGAAAGGAAGTTAGTATCATTTAAAGGCGTTTATGGAGCCCTGATTAACGGATGTGGCATGCCGGTCCAAATGGAATGATGCTCGTTGTATCACTCATATAAGTCCTAGACCCGAGATCGATCGTCCCTCTCTCTCTCTCTCTTTTTTCCTTTTTGATCCTGTCTTCTTTCCGTGGACTTCCCCAAATTTGCGTTCTCGCTTAATCCCTCAAATATTCGGCTACGTTTTTTGCTCTCCCGCTTAATTAGGTCGCGCCTCCCATCTCTCACACCTCTCGTTTTCTGCCTTCCACTCCATTCTAGGGTTTGAAGCTGGAGCATATCTCACGTCAACCTCCGAAGACCTCTGTTCATCTTCTTCGTATTTCACGTTCTGGTCGGCGTTCTCTTTTGCGTCCACCGGTGCCGCCAACGACACAACCTTCCGCAACTGCCGTCGTTCTTCAGCTCTGCCCCTCCGCCACTACCGCTTGAATCACTCCCATTAGGCCGTTACCGATTAACCATAAATACCATAGCAAGCTTCAATCGGTCTGTTCAATCGAAGCTTCAATCGCTCCTCTCATCGTTTTGTTCGACCAGTAGGCTCAGTCGAAGGTTCAGACCTGCTCAATCAACGACTAACTTTGCTTATTCGTCGGCCAAACCTATTCAATCGGTAAGATTCATTCATCCACCTTCAAGATACTTAGGTTCGATCTTATTTGTTTGCACATTTTTACACATGTGAATGCAGTAACTCCCATTCATTTACCTCATAACTACAAGTGTTACACAAAAAGTTATGTTATGCATCTAACAGTGATATATACATTAATCATGTTAGTACATATTAAATTGATGTTACTTTATTTAGATTATTCTGGTCATATGGTTTCCTTTTTGTTTTGTATTGAAGTTGCTTCCAACACAGGTAGGTGATGGCGATTGCTATGTATCCTGTTAACTAGAGGGAACTCCAGATTCATTCCTGGATAGATCAGCAGATATCACAGGGGACACAAATGTCAACTATGATGTCTAGTGATCTGACGCTTTCTAGAATGCATGTAGGTGGACCCCAGAAACAATCTGATAATAAGGTGGAGGAATGATGGATCCTGATAGACCTGTTAATTATATTAGCAGATTGCTTTAGTTGCAGTTAAGAAATACCAACATTCTTTCATTTACTTGTTTATTATGATTACATGTATTTTGGTGCTAAGTTTTGAAGGAATTGTTAAATCTTATTTCTTGTTTGTTTCTTGGTGCTCTTTATACACCTAGTCCTTTTGACTTCCTCCCAAGATGTAAGATATCTATTCAATGTTGTTTAATATAAAGGTGTGCAATTTTACCTTTATTAACGTTTAAGTTTCTTCTTATTATTTATTATTTTTAATAATTACAATTGGTTTATTCTAGATTGAAGCCCGTGATCATCAGCTGTACAATGATCTTGATTACATTCATTTCTGCTATTTTTTCTATTGTTGGTGCTGTTTTTGCTATTGCAGATTGTTGTTGCTGTTTTGTGATATTGCTACTGTTGCTATTTTGCTATTTTGTGCTATTTTGCTATTGCTGTTTTGTTGTTTTAATAATGTAAATTGAATATGGTATTTGACAAAAAATTGGAAAATTTTAATTTTTTTTTCAATAGACGAAGTTAGCTACGGAATAGCTACGGATTTCCGTAGCTATCTATGTCTGTAGCTATTCCGTAGCTATTTGGATCCGTAGCTATTCCGTAGCTATTTAGTAGTTATTTAGGTCCGTAGCTATTCCGTAGTTATTTAGCTCTGTAGTGATTCCGTAGAAATACCGTAGCTAATTTTTTCCGTAGTTATGGTAGCTACGGAATTTTCCGTAGCTATTCCGTAACGGTTCTGTAGCTAATCTGTAGCTATAATTTAGCCACGGGTCATTATGCTACAGCCATATTTCCGTAGCAATTCCGTAAGTACAATGAGGAAAACTCGCCTCACAGTCCGAATAACTCGTAGCTCCGACAACCGGCTCAACTCAAATCCTAAATGTCAAAACATTTCTCATTCTAAATTAATAACATTTTCCCAAAATACCCTTGGTCAAAACTGGTCAAAATCAACAAGTCAACCGAGTCAACCCAGCCGAGTAAACTCAGGGCTCGCATGCGGGGCGTACTCGGGCTTTGACCGCAGTCAGGACTTTGACCTCGTACGCACGACGTACGCTGAGATACACATGACGTACGCTCAAAACCCCCTTTTCTCAGTAAGAGCTTAATACATTAAGCTCTCACGTCCAACTTTCAGATCCAATGCCAAAATACCACCAAGAGTCGTAAAATTTCCAACTTTATGACTTTGCATGTCCATCAAGTGCTTAATACACAAAATACCACCTCTAAATGCCTTAAGACCTTCTAGAGCATGCATGAAGAAAAACTAAGCATCAAGACCACATTTTTATGACTCAAGACCCCTCATAAGGTCTGAAAGGAAGGCTTATTTGGTTAAGAGCATGCCTTGCTTAAAAATCATCATATTTGGGACCAAAAGTGCCCTAAATGGAGAAATGGATAGATCTACAAGATAGAGTGATCAAGTTATGAACTTTTTACCTCTTGGAGGTTGCTAGCAAGTGGAGAATCCCAGGTCTAAGTTGCTTTCAAGCTTCAAGGTCCTTGCACCAACTTCTTCCTCTTCAAGTTGCTTTCAAGCTTCAAGGTCCTTGCACCAACTTCTTCCTCTTCAAGAACACCACTAAAGTACACAAATGAGCTCAAAATGCCCTCTCTCACTTAGGGTTTGCTAAAGGGTTGTATCCTCAGTTGGAGGCTGATTAGGGTGAAGGTCTTGGGGCTCTAAAGTTGTTTAAATAGGGTTCAAGCCCTAAAAATTAGGGTTTGAAACCCTTGCACGTATGCCTAGCATACTAAGTCCCTCGCATACGAAGAGTACGCCCATCGTACTATGTTCCAGCCATAAATTACCAAAATGCCACTATGGGCCATTTTGCACTCTTTCTGAAACTCAAGAACTAAAATGATATATTTATTTATACATAGGCCTAAAATGAAATTACCTCATCATCGGGATGTTACATTATACGTTTTATTTAAGCCTGTTAATTGTACCTTTGTGCACCATGTATATAAAAAAATATAAAATTTATAATACTTATGGGACGAAAATGAGGGTGTAATTATTGTAACTTTATAACGTTTTTTGCAACTGTTTAACCATGTTGACTCTTAAGTTATGTGCTCTAGAACATCTCAAACTTAATTGTCTCTTCTAAAAAAGTAGAAACGCATTTCATTTTTATTCTTTACACTTAAGTTACTTCTTTTTACAGCCAAGACTTGAATATTCAGTAATAAATGTAGCATGTGGTCTAAAAACATGTTTCATACAACAATCAATAAAATCATTTTAAATTAAATATGATAACTACAATCATTAAGATATCATCTACAAAAGTTTTCTTTATTAATTTAGTGGATATAAAAAGAAATTTTTTTCAAAAAAATCCTTAAAATTTAATCTATTAATGAAAAAGCCATAAATCTGATTTTTATTTTCAGAAAAATCCTTAAAATTTTTAGAAAAACCCTCAAAAATTTTAGAAAAACCCTTAAAACCGGCTAATGCCGAGTACAAAGGTTTTTTTTTCAAGTGTTTACCAGTTTTTAGGCAAAAAAAAAAAAACGAAAAGGTCAGGAATGACTTATATTAATAGAACCAAACTTTAGGGACTTTAATTGTAGATTTCTCAAAGTAAAGGATCAAAGTGTGTTAGCTAAAATAAAAAGGGGAGAAATTATTGTATGGGTAAAATATTAGGAATTTCCTTAAGCTTTAATTTACTCCGAAAAATAGGCCGATAATTTAGCACTCCATATACTATAACCGCTTATGAATTTAATTTCAAGAATTTAGCAATTTCAATATGCAAGTGAGAATTTCAATTTCGAGATTCTAGATCTAAAATGATAAAAGTCAATGTAAGTCAATATGGAAAAACAAAAATTGAACCACATGAATATAATAACTCATAGAAAATTCACTTTTCACAAAAATAAATTTTAGATACGAAGCATCTTAAAATAGTTTATTTTAATATCCAATATAAAATATAAGATTCGTAATACTTATATGTAAGTATGATACTTTTATCGTTTTTTTAATGAAATTATATACATAATAATTTTATTGTATTTTATATATTTGATAAAAAAGACTCGGCATATTTATATTTATTAAATATTTTATAACTGTATTCACAATAATTTATCGTTTTTTATTCTTATAACTCCAACGTTCTTAAATGTTCGACAAAAAATGAAATATGCAATCTAGTTTCAGGCTTATTTTTAAATTTCCGTATTAAAATATATTTAGTTAATTAAAAGTCATCGTCAAGTAACATTTTGAAAGAAAAAAAAAATACAAACATATGCTTAAAAATAATAAAGTTAGACGACTGACTCTATAAAATATGCTTAAAAATAGCAAAGTTAGATGAGTGACTTCCTAAAACATTTCACATAGATGATGATATAAACATAAAATGAAACTAGAAGAAAGCTAGGGTAAAATATTTTTATTAAGCATGTATAACAAAAAAAAAGGCTTTTGATAGATTTACCATCATGGAAAGTCTAATATGGCAATGTATAGCGTCCATGTACAACATAAAGTTAATAGACTATAAACCCTTATTTATCATAGTGTGACATAAACACTAACTAGAGAGTATCAGTGTTTATGACCCTAAAACATAACTAAAACATACTATATGAAGTAACAATATATCATCTTCTAAGCTTGAATAACTTGAACCAACTCTATGAATGTCTCCATCTCGATTGCAACTCTTCTGATTTTTTAATTTCTTCTAATATAACCACCACCTCTTCCATCTCCGGCCTCTTTGTGGGGTCTATATCCCAACATTGTTCCATCAATTTAGCCAACGATCTT